TCTCTCCTCTTCTCTATCTGCCTTATTCGACCATCCCCGATCTCACCGTCTCCCCGACCCTTACCGTTACTCCAACCGTTACTCCATGACCTAGTATTTCGCCTCTCTGGTCCATCTCGCGATACCATTACCAAGTCATACCCTTCAGACCCCCTTTCGCCAATTTTAGCAGGCTACCAACCCTCGCCATGGTGCTCTGGAGACGAAAAGAAGACCCGGACGCCTACCCGGCCGTCCCCGACTCCCTACGGGGCGACTCGATGGATCTGGATGGCGTGAGGAAAACCCGGCAAGCTCGTGCCGATACCGCCCCGAGCGTCACCCCATACCTCAGTCTGCGAGCCAGGCTGTCGCAAATATGGCTGAACCGCTGGACGCTCCTGCTCCTGCTCGTGCTCCTACGGGTCTTGCTCCTGATGGTGTCTCTCGACGACAACGTGGACGATGCCAACCGCGAGGCTCTGGCCGCCTGCACCAAGGTCGAAGACGTCGGCAGCGCCATGGCCTCCATGCCTCACTATCTCTCCGTCGGCGTCAACGAGCTGTCCGCCCAGGGCATCGAGGCATCCGTCGACGCCCTGGTGGCCGTCCTAGACCTCATGATCACCGGTGTGCAGAGCCTGATCATCTTCGTCATCAACATGGTCACGGCCATGTACACGTGCCTCATCACCGCCTTCATCCACGGTAGCCTCGATGTAGCCGCCGACGTCACCGAAAAGGTCACCAACGCCATGAACCGCGCCATTCAGAGGATCACAAACTCTCTCGAGACGCGCGTCGAGCGCATCGAGGACGGCATCGGCGACGTCCTGGACGCCATCGAAAACTCCTTCATCGGTGGCGTCTTCCCCGACTTCCCCGACATCGATTTCTCCGGGCCCATCAGCGACCTGCGCGACATCGAGATCAACACGGACAACTTCGTCGAGGGCCTGAACCAGCTCAACGAGGACCTGCCCACCTTCGAGGAGGTCCAGGACACGACGGCCGAGGCCATCGCCATACCCTTCAGACTCCTCCGCCGGACCATCCACGATGCCTTGGACGGCTACCGCTTCGACCGGTCCGTCTTCCCCGTGGCTTCGAAGCAGGCGCTGAGTTTCTGTTCCGACAACAACACCATCTCCGAGTTCTTTGACCAGCTCCGCGACATGATCCGCACCGCGCGGACCATCTTCATCGCCGTTCTCGTCGCGCTCGCCGTGCTCGCCATGGCGCCCATGGCCTGGTTCGAGATCAAGCGTTGGAGGCGGCAGAAGGAGCACGCCAGGATCGTGGGCGACAGGTCGTACGACCCCATGGACGTGGTCTACATCGCGTCGCGGCCCATGTCGGCGACGTGGGGCATCAAGATGGCGTCCCGGTTCAAGGGCAAGCGGCAGATTCTCGTGCGCTGGGCCTGGGCCTACGCGACCTCGCTGCCGGCCCTCTTCGTCCTCGCCCTGGGGCTGGCGGGGCTCTTCTCGTGCCTCTGCCAGTTGATCATGCTGCGGGCCATCCAGGACCAGGTGCCCAAGCTGGCCGACCAAGTCGGGGAGTTCGCCGACGAGGTGGTCACCAGCCTGCAGGCCGTGTCGCAGGAGTGGGCCGACGACGCGAACGGCGTGGTGCTGTCGACCCAAGGCACCATCAACGACGACCTCCTCGGCTGGGTCCGGGTGGCCACGTCGGCCGTCAACGACACGCTCACGACGTTCACGGACATGATGACGCTGGGGCTGGAGACGGTGTTCAACGGCACGATCCTCAAGGACCCGATCGAGACGGTCATCTACTGCACCATCGGGCTGCGGGTCGAGGCCATCCAGAACGGCATGACGTGGGTGCACGACCACGCCAAGGTCTCGCTGCCGCAGTTCCCGGACAACATGTTCAGCAACGGCGCGCAGGACTCGATCGAGGGCGACTCGGACCTGACTACCTTCCTGGCCACGCCGTCATCGGTGACGACGGACGAGGTGACGGGCGCCGTGCAGCGGGTGGCGGACCGCCTCCGGACGCACATCATCCAGGAGGTGCTCATCTCGACGGGCATCCTTCTCATCTACGTCATCATCGTGCTCGTCGGCGTCATCCGGGCGCTCGTGGGCATGGCAACGCCGGACAAGGGACGAGGCGAAGGCGGGATGCGCTATACCACCGACGACGTCGACGGTCCGCATGCGACCCCTGCCGTGTCTCCTGCTCACGGCGGCGACCATCGGTTCGCAACGCAGTATGGGGTTGAGAACAGCGCAGGGGGTATGCAGGACGACCACTATGCGCGGGAGGTTCACGACGAGAAGACGGTGGCTGCAGTACCGGGAGGTCACCCGCAAGAGGTATATTCGCCGAAAAGGACCAGTTCCTATGGACAGTTTGAACCGTCGCACTCCAAGGTATAGTGGGTGGCGTTGCTCATACCGCGCAAAAAGAAAAAAAAAAAAAAAAAAGATTTGGGAAACAAACCCCTCGTTCGTCGCAAATTGGGTTGGATATAGACTTGTTCTGCCATGGCTGGACCGGAAGCAGAGGGATTTTCTCTCACTGGTCAAACCGGGGATGATAATTGAGGGACGGTTTTGGTTTATAAGACCCTCACTTTGATGTTTGAATGAGTTTTCTACAAAATGGTCTCGAGCGCAAAGAAAGATACCAGCTGGCCGCAAAGGCCTCTTTTTATCCACGGCGGGGTCAGCGTTGTCCTTCTTGTCATTCCTTCGTTTCAACTGATCCTCAGCTCGAGTTCTCTCTCCTTTGGGGTCCCGAAAAATATATGATATATACTCCGTACACACCAGGCTGGTATAGTATAGTTTGAGACTTGGCAATAACATTCATTTTTACCGTGTCATTCATTATTCTTTACTCTGTGATAATCATGTCTGGTTTCCAAACACAATGGGCAACAAGACTGGAAATCTGACCCATCTCGGAAACAAGCTTCAAAGAAACCGAGGCCTGGGAGCGGAGTTATTATTCGGAAAGGTACCTTAGGTAGTCGGACCCTGGCTGTCGGGACAAAACCCTGATGGAGTTCCACCGAGATTCCCGCTTTGGGAACCTCCGCCTCCATTCCTCTGTGCTCCAGCTGGGGCCACCTGTCACGTTAGTCCTGTTCCGGCATCGGGACCTGTCAAAAACAACCCCGCCACTGCCGTCCTTACCCTCACCACCCGCACCCACCCCACCCACACCGCCTACCCCACAGGCTCCGACTCGGGGAATCGGAGCTTCATCGTCCCTCTCTCTCTCTCTCTTTCCCTGCCCCGCCACTGGAAAACAACCGCCGTCCTTTTGACTGTTTCTTTAAAAACGACTCCGATACCCTTCCTTGCTGCCCCTCCTTTTTCATCTAGTCGAAGGGGAGAATACATTTACAACTCAATTGAACTTCCCTCGTCTCTCCGAACAACGAACAATCTCTCAGACAGTATGGAGGCTATTCGGCAAGCGTTCCAGCGCTGCAAGGCGCAAAATCGGGTGAGTTTGCTCTTTTCTTGCCCCTCCTCTTGTGTTGATGCCCTGCTCGAGCCACAAGAGGCTGGCGCAATAGGCAGTACATGGATGGCTGGCTCCTAATTGGGTTGAATCTTATAGCCAGCGCTCGTTACCTACGTCACGGCCGGTTATCCCACCCCGGAGGAGACACCAGGTATTCTCCTTGCGCTCGAGAAGGGCGGAGCAGGCAAGTATTCCCCTCCATAAAGAATGCAAACAAATCTCTGACCGTACTCGGTTGCTACAGATGTGATTGAGGTTGGCGCCCCTTTCACCGACCCTATTGCCGACGGACCAACTATCCAGACCTCCAACACCGTAAGTCGGCCCTCTCGTCTAATATCATGGCCTGTTTCCCCCCGGAACCTTCGACGTGCACTCCGACTTACACAACGCTGGTTTAGGTGGCATTGAAAAATGGCGTGACTATTCAGTCGACGCTGCAGATGATCAACGAGGCGAGGAGTCGGGGCCTCAAGGCTCCCGTCTTGCTCATGGGTTATTACAACCCGCTCCTCAGATACGGCGAAGAGAGGCTCCTAGAAGACTGCAAGACCTCTGGCGTGAATGGTTTCATTGTTGTCGACTTGCCACCGGAGGAGGCCATTTCTTTCCGGAAACTCTGCACCAAGGGAGGGTAAGATGAACTACACCATTTCTCATCTGCCATTTATTTCTTCTCCGACGACTTTTTCTGTTCAATGAAGCTGACTGGTTTTGGACTTTTGCGCGCAGTCTTTCTTACGTTCCCCTGATCGCGCCCGCGACATCCGATGCCCGCATGAAGATTCTATGCAAACTCGCCGACTCGTTCATCTACGTCGTCTCCCGCCAAGGCGTCACCGGCGCCCTCGGCACCCTGAACGCCGCCCTGCCCAACCTGATCGCACGGGTGAAGCAGTACAGCGGCGACAAGCCGGCCGCCGTCGGCTTCGGCGTCAGCACGCGAGAGCACTTCCAGAGCGTGGGCGCCCTGGCCGACGGCGTCGTCGTGGGAAGCCAGATCATCACCACCCTACAAAAGTCCACCTCCGAGGGACGCCTCCACGATCTCGAGCAGTACTGCGCCTACCTCTGCGCCCGGGACGCGAGCGTCTCCGACGAGACGACGAGGGAGGTCGGCATCGTGGAGGCCATGGCGGGCGCCAAGGAGCCCGAGGGCAACGCCACCGTGAGCGACGTCATCACCGCGGAGCAGGACGACGACCTCGTGGCCCAGCTCGCCGCCATGCACGGAAAGATCCCCGAGCGCTTCGGTGAGTTTGGCGGCCAGTACGTCCCCGAGAGCTTGATGGACTGCCTGTCCGAGCTGGAGGAGGGCTTCAACAAGATCAGGGACGACCCGTCCTTCTGGGAGGAGTACCGCTCCTACTACGACTACATGGGCCGGCCGGGCCACCTGCACCTCGCCGAGCGGCTGACCGAGTACGCGGGCGGCGCCAACATCTGGCTCAAGCGCGAGGACCTGAACCACACCGGGTCGCACAAGATCAACAATGCCCTGGGGCAGCTTTTGCTGGCGAGGCGCCTTGGCAAGACCAAGATTATTGCCGAGACGGGCGCTGGCCAGCACGGCGTCGCCACCGCTACCGTCTGTGCCAAGTTTGGCATGGAGTGTACCGTCTACATGGGCGCTGTAAGTGTTGCTCCAAACTCTTGTCATTGGGTTTAATGCCTTTTTTTCTTTTTTTTGCACTGCAACCCAAGAAACCCCTTACTGACACACTCCTCATAGGAGGACGTCCGCCGCCAAGCGCTCAACGTGTTCCGGATGAAGCTCCTAGGCGCCAAGGTGGTGGCCGTCGAAGCCGGCAGCCGGACGCTGCGCGACGCCGTCAACGAGGCCCTCCGTGCCTGGGTGGTCCACCTCGACACGACGCACTACATCATCGGGTCGGCCATCGGCCCGCACCCGTTCCCGACCATCGTGCGGACCTTCCAGTCGGTCATTGGCGAGGAGACCAAGAAGCAGATGCTCGAGAAGCGGGGCAAGCTCCCGGACGCGGTGGTGGCGTGCGTCGGCGGCGGCAGCAACGCCGTCGGCATGTTCTTCCCGTTCGCCAACGACCCGTCCGTCAAGCTGCTCGGCGTCGAGGCCGGCGGCGACGGCGTCGACACGGCAAGGCACAGCGCCACGCTGTCGGGCGGCACCAAGGGCGTGCTGCACGGCGTGCGCACCTACGTGCTGCAGGACGAGCATGGCCAGATCGCCGAGACGCACTCGATCTCGGCCGGCCTCGACTACCCCGGCGTGGGCCCCGAGCTGAGCTCGTGGAAGGACAGCGAGCGGGCCAAGTTCGTCGCCGCCACCGATGCGCAGGCTTTCATTGGGTTCCGGCTCATGAGCCAGCTTGAGGGTATCATCCCCGCCCTCGAGAGCGCGCATGGTATCTACGGTGCGCTGGAGCTGGCGAAGACCATGCCCAAGGGCCAGGATGTCGTGATCTGCCTGAGCGGGCGTGGAGACAAGGATGTGCAGAGCGTTGCGGACGAGTTGCCCAAGTTGGGTCCTCAGATTGGTTGGGATCTGCGGTTCTGATCGAGGAAAACGGGGAGAGACGAGGGACGAGGGAAAAGGGAAAAGGGAAAAGGTCAAGACGTAGAGGAGACGAGGGTATACCATTTACTTAGATATTCAGGCGTACATACATTGGATTATTCTGGGACCTAGGAAAAGAAATAAAAATGGCATTTCGAAAGCAAAAAA